AAATACATCTCCTCCTCCTCCTCCTCCTTCTCCTCCTTCTCCTCCTCCTCCTCCTCCTCCTCCGTCACTGCGCTCGTCTCCTCCTCCTCCTCCTCCTCTTTTTTCTCCTCCTCCTCCTCCTCCTCCTCCTCCCTTTTCTCCTCCTCCTCCTGCTGCTCCTCCTCCCACTCACCCCATTCCTTCTTCTTCTCCTCCTCCTCCTCCTCTTCTTCCTTCTCCTCCTCCTCCCACTGCCCCCATTCCTTCTCCTCCTCCTCTTCCTTCACATCCTCCTTCCACTGCCCCCATTCCTTCTCCTCCTCCTCCACCTCCTCCTTCTCCTGATCGTCCTCCTTCCACTGCCCCCATTCCTCCTCCTCCTCCTCTCCTCCTCCTCCTCCTCCTCTTATTCTTCTTCTTCTTCCTCCTCCTTCCATTGCCCCCATTCCTTCTCCTCCTCCTCCCCCTCCTCCTCCTCCTCCTCTTCCTCCTCCTCCTCCTCCTCCTCCTCCTCGCGTTTCCTAAAATCACCGTGAAGAAGGCCAGAGCGAGAGCGTGATTCCTCAGTGTCGAAGGCGCGGCGTGCGGTTCCTAAGGCACCGGAGGAAATGACGGATGGAAGCAAGGGACAAGGGGGAGGGAGGAGGATGGAGCGCGAGAGGGAGTAGCAGGAGGGGGGCCAGGAGCAGAAGACACGTTGCAGAACCAGACGGGCAGATTCGGCAGGTAGACCCGAACGTTCGGGTCGGGAAGGCGGGCCCAGGCGGTCAGGTCTAGCCGGCGGGTTGCTGAAGCGTGCGTCCTGCATGAATAGCGAGGATGTCTCGAGCGATACAGCGATCCCCAAGTAAATATCGAGAAATCTACAACGAGAGCGTGATTTTTGAGTGTCGAGGGCGCGGCATCTGAATACATTGCGAAGACATCCCACGCAAGAGCGCGATTCCTGCATAGATTGTGAGGAAGTCCCGCGCGAGTGCACGATTTCTCAATACATTGTGAGGAAGTATCCGGCGGGAGTCGAGGTTGTTGTAGCCCGGGGGCCAGTGGCCCAATTTGGTGACACTCCATTTTCTTGTGTAAGAGCCAGGTGCGAGCCCCTGGGGGCCCATCTTCATTGAAAAATGCAATGTTCACCGGAGGGGGGATCAACAATATCCGTAAGGGCTTCGCCCCCTGCCGCCGGCCCCCTCTCTATCATAATGTGATAGATTAGAGTCGCGTCGGAGCGTTTCGGCGCTGCCTTGGCGCATCTGGGAACATCACGCGGGGCCAGATAGGCATCATCAGCGCATATTGAGACGCTGGCGTTATCGAAGACGCCTACGGCGAGTCACCGCCGCCCCCTGCCTTCTAGAATCGCCCATGTGGCCGAGCGTTGTGGCAAGAGCTCTGCCAAGCTATCGGACCATGTGTTTCCCCCAGCCGTTGTGGAAACCCTTCGGGGAACGCTTGGGGGAGGATGGCGGGGAAGATGAGGAGGAGGCGGAGGAGGAGGTGGAGGAGGAGGATGATGAGGAGGGGGGGGCATTTTGGGAGCCTCTGGGAGCCTCTTGGAGGCATCTTGGGTGTCTCCTTGGCCTCTTGGGGGCCTTCCGGGGATTTTCGGGGCCATCGTTGGCTGTCTTGGTGGGCTCCTGGCCAGTCCGACGCCGTCTTGGGAGCCTCTCTGGGCCGACTTGGGGCCCTCGTGGGGTGCTCGAGAAGGCGGAGGAGGAGGTGAAGGAGGAGGGGGAGGAGGAGGAGGAGGAGGAGGAGGAGGAGGAGGAAGAGGAGGAGGAGGAAGAGGGGGCATCTTGAGAGCCTCTGGGGGCCTCTTGGAGGCATCTTGGGGGCCTTTGGGAGCGTCTCGGGTGCCTCTTTGGCCGTCTTGGTGGGCTCCTGGCCCGTCTGACGCCGTCTGAAGCCGTCTTGGGGGCCTCTCTGGGCCGACTTGGGGCCCTCTTGGGGTGCTCCGGGGCCGTCTTGGAGGCCATTTTGGGCGTCTTGGACGCCTCTGGGGCCGTTTGGGAGCCCTCTTGGGGGCCGTCTTGGGGGCCTCTTGGGCCGTTCTTGGGCTATCCTGGAGGCCTCTTGGGCGATCTTGGAGCGATCTTTGGGGGCTCTTGGACCGTCTCGGGCCGTCTTGGAGAGTTTTGTCTGGACGCTGTGCTTGTCTGCGTTCGATTGTGCGGCCTTATGGTCCCTTTCGGGTGGCCGGCGTGCTGGGCCGGAGCCCCACTGGGAATTCTTTTTGGAAAAGAACCAAAACCAGAGGCGGTAGCGTCTAGCACGCGGGGCACCCCTGTGGCAAGACCACAGGGGGCGGCGGATCCGAGTGGCCGTCGGCCCAGCCCACCACCGTGCCTGGGTTGTAGACTTGAAATTGCACCTGCTGCAGGGAGCAGCACACTTCGGCCCCACAAGGGGGCCGGAGGATTTAGAAGTGAGAGTTCAACAACAACAACAACAAAAACAACAACAACAACAACAACAACAACAACAACAACAACAACAACAACAACAACAACAACAACAACAACAACAACAACAACATAAACAACAACAATAACAATACCACTAACAACAACGACAACAACAACAACAACAGCAGCAGCAGCAGCAACAACAAGAACAACACAGCAACAACAACACCAGCAGCAACAGCAACAGCAGCAACAACTCCACCAACAGCAATAGCTACACCACCAACAACAACAGCAATAGCAACAACACCAACAGCAACAACAACAATCATCCCGCGACCAAGGCCCGTTTCACCCGCATGTGCTGTTCCATTCCCCACGCACACGCCCTCTACATCTGAGCGCACCCGCTCGGGGTACACCCCGGCGGGGGAACAGCCGGGGCGTCGAGCGGGCGGGCCCCAGCGGGCAGAACGCGATCCCTGAATGGAGCGCGAGGAAGTGTCGGGCGGCAGCGCGGGCTATGAGCACGTGGCGAGGGTGTCTCGCCTGGGTGCCGTTGCTGTCTCAGCGGGTTGTCATAGGGGTCGTAGCTAGAGTGCCGTTTTTAATACATGCTCCGCGTGCGGATCATGTGGCAAAAATGCAGGGATTTAGTATTCAAAACAACGATGCGTTCATGCATACATGTACTCATACATTCATCATGTATAAGAAATCCCACATGCTTACAAATCCTATGTATTAAAAACTGCCGTGTAGGTTGCGGGGAGCTCCCAGGCGAGAGCCCGAGTCCCGAGCACGTTGACGGACCGCCTCGGGCAGGAGCGGTCCTGCATGCATTCGCGGGGGAAGCCTCTCGGGCGGGGGCTGCTGTTGCGGCAGCAGCTCGGGGGGCACGGGGCAGACCTTTGGAGCGGAGCCCGCGCTCGAGCCGGCGCCTCGATCTCGAAGAAGATGATGTCCACGCTCGAGCGAGAGCGCTCCGTCCATCCTCCGTCGGGCAACAGTATCGGCTCTGTAGAGAGAGAGAGAGAGAGAGTGCTGACCAACAGCCATGGTTTGAGGCCTGATCGGGCTTATCTCCTCGGGTGCCAATCAACTTTTGCGTGCCAAACCCTGGCTATCCGCCCTCGTCGTCTTCGGTTGTACCCCCTTGGGGGCACTTCTTCCTTACTTGCCACGTGTAGATGGCGCAGCCCCTGAAACAGGAAAAAAGATGAGGGAGATAGTAGAACAAACGTATCGCAAGGAGGAGAGGAGCGCGGGAAGAGAAGGAGGAGGGAAGGAGCAATGGGGAGGGAGAAGGATGGAGCAGGAGGGAGATTAGCGGGAAGGGGGTTCAGGGCAGGAAAACAAGCAGTTTAATCCGACGCGCGGGTCTTCCGGGTGGGTCCACATGGCCAGGTGGGGCGGGCGAGTTGCTGAAGCATCAGTTCTGAATGAATCGCGAGGAAGTCTCAAGCGATTGTGTTGCCGAGTGAACAGTGAATAAGTCCACGGCGACAGCGTGATTCCTGAGTGTCGAGTGCGCGCCGTGTGAATTAAGACAGAGCGCGATCCCTGAAGACTTCCAGCGCGAGAGCACGATTTTGTATACATTTTGGTGAGGCTGGAGCCTTTGTTGCAAGCTGGGGGCCCTGGGGAGAGCCCCGGGAGGGGCATTTCAATTCAAAAAACGCAATAGGCACCGTAGGGGCGAGGTCAACAATACTTATTCTTTAATAAAGACAATCCGCGCTTTGGACCCCCGCTGAAGCCACACAACTAGGGACTGAGGAAGACTGCACGGCCCCGCAATCTGATCAATCATACGCCCGTCGTCTTTCGAACTTTGCGCGTTGCTCATCCGCCTTGCGTGCAAGAGCCCGATAGTTACCCATTCGGCACCAGCACGCTGATTGGGCCGTCCGAGTGGCGCGATGTTGATATTGCTTTGACTTTCCCAGACACTCATTGTCTTGATTTTTTCAGTACTGGGTCACCAGAGGTCTTGGCCCATCCCCTGGTACGGGCTTCTGATCCTGCGTGTTATGTTGTTTCGGTCCCCGGGGCTCCGCAAGGGCCCTCAGAGGAAAAGCATTGCCGAAGCCCCTCCACCGTTTTTTCGTGTTCGACGCGACCATTCCCTCTTAGCTCCCTGAGAGCTGAAAAGGCTTCATATTAGAAGCCAGCACCGCAGGGTGGCCCCAGATCTCGTCCAGCTTCCGGCAGGACACCTCGCAGAAACCTGTGTGAGTTCGCAGCTTGTCCCGGAAGGCCCTGTTTTTTCACGGTTTTCCAGTACGTGTGCCCGGAAGTTTTCCAGAAACTCCTCTCCAGAGCTTCGGGAGCTCCTTTCGAAGGACCTTCCAGAAGCTTCTGCCGCTTCGCTGTCCGGGCCCAGACATGCGACGTCCTGATTTTTTCATGACGGCGTCCGTGGAAGTCCCGACACTTTCCCCCAGCACCGGCTTGTCGTCTCGAGTCGTTTTTTCACATTCCCGAGGCCTGGCGATGGCCCCCCGCGGCCGAAAACGACCAACAAAAATCCCGTCCTGATTTTTGTTGCAACGCGATCATGCCTGGGTGGGGGTTTGCGACGCCACAAGCGTCTGGGTGGCGCTCCCTCTGAAGGCAGGCCATACGCACGGCGATGGTGCCCATCCGCGAGTTCGTGCGGTACGCGCAGGGCCGGCCCAGCGCCCTCCGCGGCATGCAGAGGAGCGACGAGCAGGCCCGCGGCCGGGGCAGCGCGGGGGGCCACAGCTCCTGCTCCTCCTCCTCCTCCTGCTCCTCCTCCTCCTCGTCCTCCTTCCGTAGCCATTTTTGCTCAAGTAACATTTCGGGAATCCCCCCGTCTCGAGTGCGAGGCGGCCGCGCTCGAGGTCACAGACGCCTGCCCTGGCAGACCTCGAGCTGTACTGTTTTTCTTTCACATCACTTATTTCTGATGTTGTACGGCATTTTGCCCGAGTACAATCTGTGCTGAGCACCTCTCTGCCGCGATGGGTCGCAAGGGAGTCAAGAAAGCAGCGAGAGATGACACTCGCCGTGCCCGTGAGGAGCGCAGCCAGAGTCGTCGTGAGCTGCGTCATCGTTCCAGTTCACACTCCGAGTCGGAGAGCCGCAGGTCTCATAGCCGCAGGTCTCACAGTCGCAGTCGTGGCGCGCGCAGTGATGACATGTCCGACCGCTCGTCGAGTCACCATTTTGCAGGAGAGCGTCGAAATCAGGATCGACGCAGCGAAGATCATTACAGTGAGAATCGTCATGGTACCAGCGGCTCCGCCTCCAGCGGCACCAATGGAGGCATTTCCCCTGAGGTCATGGCCGAGTTGCGCTCGATGGTGGGTGGCATTGAGGCGAACATCACCAGGTCCATCGACTCGTCGACGGCCGCGTTGCAGGTGCAGCTGGCCGCGCATGAGGCATCGATCATCGCATTCGATTCGCGTGTGGAGACGACCCAGTCCACCTTGCAGCAGCACCAGTCACAGATCGAGCAGCTTGGCGCCCAGATCCAGGCCGTCTCGCAGTTGGCGTCTCAGGCATCATCGGGAGCCTCATCGGCAGCGTCCATTGCGTCTACCCCGTCTGGAGGTGGCAGTGGAACTGGTGGTGGCAACCGTGGACGTGGCCAACGAGTCGGTACCAATCCCTTAGTACGCTTCATCGGAACCTTCCCTCGGCCTGTTCATAAGATTGTTCGTCAGGCACATTTCCGACAAGTGTTGAATGCGCACCCGCATCTCCTTCGAGATGCTGAACCAGTATTCCATGCTGTGGCCCAGAATTAGAAGATTGTCTTTCGCACGCTTGCCTCCGCCAAGCAGTTCAGTGAGAATGTCAACACGTCCGCCCTGCAGTGGATAGACCCACGTAATGGGTCAGCCCACGCACTAAGGGTGCGCCATGACTTGCCTATTGATGTAAGCGACCGCCAGCGCACGATAAGCCGCATCTACCAGCCGATCTTGGAATTGCTTCTTGGTCATCAGTCGTGGACTGCCGAGTGCAAGCTCGGGGTGAACGGGTTCAAAGGCGAGATGATGATCGTCACTCCTCAGGATGTGTTCATCATTGTGAAGTTGCTGAAGAGGAGTGAGTCCACGGAAGAGTTCCATGCCGTTCAAGAGGAGCTGAACTTGTGGGGTACCACCGCCGAGCAGATACAGCAGATCTTCAACGTCGCGCACCAGGCGGGCCGCGTCGAGAGCTACCTGTAGGATCCTCCCGTGCGGCAGTCTCGTGAGCGCCGCGCCGTCTCTCGCGTGCCTCCTCCGCTGCGGGAGAGCGAGCATCCTCAGCAGGATGCGTTTCGCTCGAGCAGAGGGCGGCTGCCCGTAAGTAGTCTCTTGCAGAGGGAGAGCCCAGAGCATCGCTCGTGCGATGCCCGTAGCTCGTGCAAGGAGGCCAGCGAGGGCCCCGACGGCGTCCGCTCAGCCACTGTTAACGTCTCTCGCGCTCGCTCCCGGCATTGCAATCCTGTGCCTGGTCCTTGTCTCCCTCCTCTCTCTTCTCATCCATTTGTTCCTGATTGTTCTCTTGGCATCTGCAGTTGGAATATTCAGACTGTCCTCGGCTCTGTCCTTTCGAACCAATCCAGCTTCCGATCTAAGTTGACTCATATCCGTTCCTTGCTCTGTAAGTTCCAGGTTCTCGGTATCCAGGAGTCTCGCGGTGGCGAGGGTGATATCGTGCATTTCCAGAGAGAAGTCCGGACACACCACGTTTTTGGCAGCTTCTGTGAGTCTCCTTCTGCAGGTGGCAATATCCTTCTTGTCTCTCTCGTGAGTTTCTCCGCAGCTGGTCTCAGTGTGAATTTGTGGCAGTGGCGCCTGGGCGCATCTCTCTGCTGCGCTTGTCTTCCGAGAAGGGCAACTTGCAGTTCCTCAACCTCCACCTCGATCTTGAGTGGGGCATCAATGAGCTCAAAGATGTGTTCGCTAAGATTAAGAAAGCGCTCGGGAAGCCAGATGTTGTCGCGAGCTTCGTTTTCGGGGACTTTAACTTCTTGGAGGTCGGGGAGTCCAGGGTCAATGCTTCCACGGGCCTTGACGGGCCCAGCACCAGCCGTTTGGCTTCGCTGTTCACGTCTGCTTTTCCGTATTTAGCTGAAGTTTCCCAGGAAGATGCTACTCACCGTCTTCAGCGTGATGGAATGTGGTCGCACGGTCGGTTGGACCGCCTTTACTGTTCCCTGCCCACTCAGGACATTCTCGACCTGTGTCCGAGCACGGGTGTTATCTGGCCTGCCTCCGATTTGTCCAAGCCTTCGGACCGCGTTCCCGTGTTTCTGAAGCTGGAGCCGTGGAGACCCCAGGGTCCGACCCCGATCCCTGTTTGGGTGGCTAATCATCGTGCGTTTCAGGAAGTGGTCCAGGACCTTATCGTGCCGGAGGAGTTAGGCCAGAACTTAGACGAGCAGTTGCAGGGCATCAAAGATGTCTTCTATTACGCAGCCGGGCGCGTCAAGGCCCATATCGGCAGTCAAGGAGCTGAGTCGCTTGAGGAACGAGTATCTTGTTGCTTAAAATTGGCTCGGGCCGCACGTGGAGGGCGCTTTCACAGTGCCAAGAAAGCGATCTCTGATTATTCTGCCTTGGGGAAGTTTTATGATTTGGAATTGAATACCTGGTCTGACCGTGGGGCTTTCGATTTGCACCTGGGGAGTTTGATGCGAGATATATGTTCCAAGCGTGCGGCGGCGCTCTGCTCGGTTGCTGAGATGTCTAAGGCGGACATCGCCGAGGCAAAGTGCTCTGCTGCTGTACAGCGTGCTCGTGCTATGTCTCGTGCATGGCGGTCGAGTGGCCGCAGGATTTGTTTGCAGCAGGTCACTGACGTTGATGGCCAGCATTATTCTGATGGTCGGAGGCGCGCTGAAATTATTGCTTCGTATTGGGAGTCGGTCTTCCAAGATGTCCAGGCTAGTGGTGAAAGTATTGAGGATTTGTGTTCCGAGATCACCCCGATCCCCTCCCACCCGTTGTTCCACTACCAAGCCAGAGATTTAGCGTTGTATCCTTGGGTGGCCCCTGAGAGTAAATTTCAGGATATCCTTTTTGGGAAGAAAAACACGGCCCCCGGGCCTGATGGAGTGCCCTATGCTGACTGGAAGTCTGCTGGCGATTCGGCCCAGCATATCTTGTACGAAATCTACTTGAGGATGATGCAGACTGGGCGGCTCCCTCCTGATTTTAATGTCGCAAGAGGTGTGTTTCTACCTAAGGACTGTCCAGGCGGCATTGATACCGCTGCCCGTGCGCCAGCTTGCACGAGGCCTCTGTCAATATCGAACCCTGACAACAAGATTGTCACCAGCTGCGTTGGCTTTACGGTCTCAGAGGTTTGTGAAGGACACGGCTGAGGTTTGCCGGAAGGGTTTCGTCAAGGGCCGCCAGCTTCCAGACAATGTGTTTTCCCTGGACGCTGCGTTTTTGAAGTGGGCCATGATGGGCGTTTCCCCTCGGATTGGCTCGGCGCTTCTTCATGTGAAAAAAACGTTTTCCCCAGTGTCATTCACAAATGCATTTGGGCTGTCTTACGGCGTATCAATCTTCCTCGGGATTTCCGTCGAGCGATCAAGGCGCTGTATTCGAATATGCGCATGTGTATTTGTACTCACGGTTGGGAACCTGTGTATATCGCGGTGATGAGGGGCGTGAAACAAGGCTGCCCCATTTCTGGCTTGATTTTCGGTTTATGTATCAACCCGATTTTGACGAGAATTTGTAAAATATGTTCGAGTTTGCCCATCGAGATGGGTGCCTTCGCCGACGACATAGGTATTTGCTGCCGCGATGAACTCCAGAGCCTCCCGACGATCTTGAGAGTGCTCTCAGATGGTGGCAAAGCTTCTGGCCTCATTTTGAACCTTGCCAAATGCGTGCTGGTGATACCCTCGCCCGCCTTTCGTGAATCTGTAGTTGCAGACCTTTGGCGATTGGGTGTGAATATTCGTCGATTTAAGATTCTCAAGAACGGGAAGTAGTTGAGTGTGTACTTGGGCATCGAGGGGAGGGAGGGGAGTTGGAAGCAGGTGGTTACTACCTTGGGGAGGAGGACGTTGCAGGTGAAGCATATGGGGGAGACTTATCTTTTAGCATCTCCGCTTACAACATTTATGCCCTGCCCGTCGTGGGCCATGTGTCGCAGGTCTGGGGCCCCCCCAAGTCTGTCCGCTTAGCTGAAAAGAATATGTTCCAGAGGCTTACCTGTTCCCCGAGGTTTGCGTTCCCTCCAGAGACCTTGCGCCAGCTCAAACTGTTAGGCCACCGTGTGGAGGCACGGAGGCTGGAGGTCTATGCCCGCGCCTGCATGTTGCGTTCCGCCATCAACTCTGACAAGTTCCATGCGCTGAAAAATGAGTTGCAGGAGTACGCAGATTCGGACGAGGTTGCGATCGCATGGAGGTATAGCCCCTGTGCAAAAGATCCCCTCTTCTTGCGCATCTGGGATCTTTATAATCAGTTCTTCCAGATTCACCGCCCCCTGAACTGCAAGCCCAAGGCTGTGCAGGCTCGGGTGACCAAGATGCTGCTCATGAATCGGCGGCTTGAGTTTCCCAGTATCCAGGATGTTATATTCCCGAGGTTGAAAAACATGTTTTATCGGCGTGTTTGAAAACCATGTTAAATGGATGGAATACCACCCGACGGCATAGGCAGGCAGTGCAGGTGTGTGGATTCGGCTGCTGCGCCGTGAACGGAGACGACCTGCTCCATTATTCGA